ATATTCTGAAGCCAGTAGTTATACTACAATTAAGTTACATAAAAGGTCTTGATCAAAGTAGTGTTTTCCAGCAACAAAAACCAACAACACTGAGTTTCAGCACTGAGGATTCCTAGGAAATTGCATAGCTGCACAGGACAGCTTCCAGTCCCCAGAAGATCGATTGTTTCACCTCTGTTTCCTCTTTGATTGAACCAATGCCAGAGGCTGGCGCTGTGCAAAGTTAGGATGTATAAGAGCTAGCTGGCTAGATCTCCATGTAGATAAACCTGCAATGTAGTTGGGTCGGTGGGGAGATGGAGTACAAACAGCAAGACCTCTCTCTGCCCTGCCGTGCACGCTGGACACTTGCCATGGGACGTGATGGTTTGCTGCGCGGAGTTATTGCAGCTCTTGCTAAGCAGGCATTGCTCGATCTGTGCAGGAGTTTGCAGCCGTGCCCTTGGGATGTGCTCCTTGCTGTCGTTTGTGTTTTCATTCACTGGAGATGCTGCGGCTGCTTTTGGTCCGCAGCCTGCCTTGTTCCAGAAACTGGAGCCAGTAGCGGTGCGGCAGCTGCGGCAGTAAGCACCATAGTGAACACACTTTTGCTGCAGTCAGGTTTAAACAAAATAAAACAACTGACACCCAAATCTACAAAAAACAAACAAACAAACAAAAATGCCCCCCACTTTGTTTCTCTTGTCTGGGGTGGGGCTCCTGAGGCGCTGTTGTTGGCCTTCTGCTGATCAGAGCACTGATGCTTGGCAGCCAGGTCCCGGCTAGTCCCCAGTATCTAGCCTGGATTAGTACCTGCACAGGCAGCAATGTTACTGGGCTGGTGCAGCACTAATAGCCCTGAGCCATCTAGAGTTCTCTGGGTGGGATTTAAGGTATTGACCTTCACTTGTTCTTATGGCTCACCTGGCTGAGAAGTTGCTCCTCCTGCTGTGCAGTGCTGTTTTAAAAGAGCATGGCCCACCGGGCATTTTTGGTCAGCAGTGCAATTCTCTGTTCCTAAGTTGGATTGGAAATGGATCTAGTTTTAAAATAAGTTTCAAAGTGCACATTTTCCTTTAGATTTTGGAGTTAGCTTCTATAGGTACAGTGGGAATGATCAGAGGGCTTTTCTTTCCTCATGTCTGCCTGTCTTCTGAAGAATTTCCTTGGGTCTTTCTGTCAGCTTCCCAGGCCTTTGCATTTTGCTCATTTAGAGCTCCCTATTTCCTTTCCTTTACATTGAAATTAATGGATGAAATGCACATCTTCTAACAGGCACTTTAAAACTATAAAAACAACTACAAAACCAGAGGGGCTCAGGTTATAGCATGTTTTATAAGGAGCGAGCTGCATATATGAAACGATGTGCAGAAGATATTGTAATGAAGAAAGTATCAAAAATGGTAAAGAAAGTGAGTATAAAAGAAAATTGTAACAGTGTGAAGTGATATGAAATAAGAGTGATGATTTTAGGGTATAAAACTCAATGAAGTTGGGAAAAGATAAGGTAATGTTCCTGAACTAAAATGTATCTGTCTCCTTGGCCCATCGTATCAAACCTGTTGGATTCTGCAGACTGAAATGTATTCATGACTAACATGTCATCATCTGCTTCCTCTTTTCAGTTTGATGTTTGGTAAATTCCTGTATTCCATTAAAGCTGGGAGTTTAGTGTTTTGTAAGCCCTGAGCCCTGACTCTGTCCTGCTCTGTGAGCTGTTGTATTCCCTTCCCACCACACTGGCTAAACTGTGAAGGAAGAAGTTGAATTATGCCGAGGCTTAATTGTTGCTAACACCAAGTGATAATTCAACACAGGATCTGTCTGATTTGCATCAAAACTCGTGAGATGGTTTGGGGATAAAAGTTGCTGTTTTACAAGTCTGCTGGTCGAGATGCGGACTCACAGTGACTGGTCTTCATTTGATTTCTTTGGGACTGCCATGTGCTTTGGCGACCTGGCTCCCAGGAGCGAAGCAGTGCTCTGCTGGATGTTGTGGCTCACCTTGGGACACAGAGGGGAGGTGGTGCAGGGCACTCGCATTGTCATAGCTGACGCAGCACCCTGCTCAACTGGGGCCTTCATTTATTGGAGCTGTCAATCTGGGATATTCTGTGAGCATAAAATCCTCTTTAAAAGTCCCACACAAACAAAAGAATATCCCTAGGATTGAGGCAGAGCCAAACTGTTGAAATAAATTATCCAGAGTTAAGCAAGCATGAACTTTTTTGTTAAATTATGTAAATGTTAGAGAGGGCTGAAAAAATGCCTGGTTTTGAAGAATTGAGAATTCATCTTAAGAGTCTCTGATAGACTTCAGGCCAGCCAGGTCTGTCCCCAAGCAGCCTCACAGATACCAAGAGCCATGTTTGCTGCTGCTGCTTCTCTCTTTGTTCTGAATGCATTAGGGGATTTCTCCTCTCTTCTTCCTCCGGTGTGACATTCAATGTCTTGCTTTGATAACTAAGTGGAAAGCTTCTTTTACAACACACCACAGTTGCTGCTGACAGGTTTTCTGACAGCTAGCTAGAACCATGCTTCCCAGCTTTGGGCTGTCTGAACCTAACCAGCTGTGAGTAGTTCCTTCATGGGGAAGGTTGGAGCATGTTGATCTTATTATCTTCTGATGACCTCCCTGTCAGTCTGCTGGGGTTCCCTCTGGTGTGCTTGCTGTGTCCTGTGCAATGGAAGGGTCATTTAATACACATAGGATAGCTTACATGTCTTGGATGTGGAAGGAAGATGTATGTTCGGCTTTTTCTTGCCATTGTCTTCCCAAGGGCATCACTATGATCTTTAACTTTGCTTTAAAAATTCCTTTTTTGTTTAACTTACCTCACCTGCTACCAATTACTGTGGTCTTGTCTTTAACCATTTGTGCTCTGACTTTTCCATGCAGGCTAATTTTCTTAGGTTTAGCTGAAGATATTCAGAAATGCTACATATTGCTGTCATTGCAGAGTGCTAGGACAGATCTGAACCTTGGCTCAGCCTGACATGAGGGTACGAACAGAAGGCTGTAGAGCTGAGGATGCTTAGGAGCAGCAGATGGATCCAACTTCAGGGTGGCATTTCCAGCTATGAGAAGTAGGATTGCTATGACAGAAAGGGAGAATACTCAGTACTGGTGGACAAAGCTCCCATTAAGTGATAAGATGCAAAAGTCCATAACAGTTATTGTGCTTGTGCTATCCAATGATTTGTACTCAAAATGGGATGTGGAAAAGGAGAAGGTGAACTTATTTGTTTGAAGCAAGGGATAAGACAATCAGGGTGATTGGGAATGGCCACCACCCTCAGCACTGCACCTTGGGTGTGCCAGAAAATGAGGCAGGATGAAGAAGTTCAGTTAATGTAAAGTAGGGAAGTGCGGATGGAAAACGTAAAGGGGACAAGACGTGAAGCCAAGGTTTATCTTTCCAGCTAGAACGGTCAGGAGAGGATACAGGATTCCCACATGGGAGAGGCATGGGTCAGTAACACAGGTGACATTGTATATATTGATGTGAAATTATGCACTGTGCCAAGCTGGGTTTGACCTACACTTTTTTCTTTATTAATACAGTATTTCTAATTGGCCTACCTGTCTTTACAGCATTTTCATGGCTATATAATACAGAGCACTAATGTGGATGGAAATGTCCCACCCAAACAATACCTGTGCACGAGGTGGTCTTGCTGTGTGTATGCTGGGCCGTGCCTCAGGAAATGTTGGGAATCTGGATCATATGGAATCAAATATGGGCTGGCTTTGGAATGTCTTAAGAAGTAAAGTGGTAATTTGGCTTGGCAGATGATACACTGGTCTGGGAGCAAGGACACTACTCTTTGCTTTTCAGCAGTGCAGTGGGAGTCATGAGTTCATTACCTTTTGCAGCCTTTTACCCTCTCTCCATTGGTTTCGAGAGTCTGTTCACACTGCAAGCAAGCGTCTGTCCATTGGAGCACAAATGAGCCCTGACCACCACTCCATCACCATATAATCCCACTGATACAAATAATGCCCAATGTTTTTAACAGCCTACCTACAGCAGCCAGCTGAGACAGGCACTCGTTTAAAGCTAGGAGCATGCCCAGATGCCCAGGTGGGAAGCTTTCCAAAGCAAGAAGTTGAGGTGCTACTGGAGTATGTTACCCATAAGTAACAACAGAGGATCTAAATGAACAATTGCAGAACATTTTAGCTTTGGATCCATATCCAAGATCTACAGCTCAGTGTCAATTTTCATTTAGTGCTTCTTTGAACTGGACCCTAGGGTCATTATTTGTGGTTCTGTCATTAAATTGTCATAAAAATATCGTGTATAGTATTAAACTTAGTAGCAATCATCTATTATAATTGTTTAACCTCAGTGACTTTCTACAGAGAACTGTTGGGAGCTGCCAATTTGCTCTATAATTAAAATCAAGGCCAGTAAGAGTGTTTGTATGTGGCTGTACGTGCCTGCTACCCCCCAAGGCAGAAACCTCATGGATGAAGAAAGTGAGAGGATAGAACCCATCGTGGTTATGCATCTCAGCTGGCACAGTGGTCATTCTGAGAGATCAGCCACTCTTGCCTGATCCTCTCCAGAGTCATCTTTGGTTATTTTTGCTGTAAACCTTTGTAATTGCAGGGAAAGGAAATGACAGTTCCATTTTCCCTTTTAGTTTTAGCAGAGGGTCGAGGGCTGGTTTTAGATTGCCTGCAGTCTCAGCGGCCTCAGGAATTTGTGCTGCAAGTGCCAGGCCTGTTCTTTAGCAGCTGGAGATGTAAACACACAGCAATTGAGCGTTTAATTTAACTTTGAGGGGCTGTATGACTTTCAGATTCCGAGGGAAATTTGCTGCTATTAAGAGGAACCACTGATGTTTATATATACATTTCATTCCAACAAAAGGCTGGAAGAACTTTTTAATATTTATGGTGCAATAATTGATCTTTTACCACTGTCAAAAGCTGTTAAAGGCTTATCAGCTTGCTATTTCAGCACCATATGCTCTACACCAGTTCCTCACCATGTGTCTTTCCTGCTCTTTAGGGGAAGAACATTTGTTAGAATACCAAAACAGAAATGCTTCTTCAAGTGCTGGTGCCTGTGTGGATGTGCGGGACCTCAGCGTAAGCTCTCGTGTGTTGCCAGCCCTCTTGTTCATGGCGAGGTCTGGGGGACGCACGGTTGGGTCTCTGTGTAGTGAAGCATGGTGATGGTATTTTGTCAGAAAATGTGTCTTTGAATTTGCTTAAAGGTTGGCCTCAATAACTTCGTGCAGTCTCTGAGGGCTTCCTGAAGGCTGGGGGCTCCCGTGGTGAAACTGAGCGTGTTTCTATCCCAGTCACACTTTGCCAGCCTCACACCCATTTGTGCATGAGAAATGGGTCCGTAAAACATAAAGGATTGAGAGAAGAGTGAGAGGGAAGCAATAGGGGTGTGGGAAGAGGAGTTATTTAGATTGGATTTCTGTTTATTTTTATTGTGTAGTGAATTTATAGAGCAAGAGGGATGGAATGAGTTGCTGTCATTCATAAATATCCCGTTTAAAGGGTCAGCCATGCACGGTCCGTGAAGAGAGGAAGAAGCCAAGCCTTTGGAGTGTCTTACGTCTGCTCAGAAGATACTCGTGGCTTTTCCAAAGACCCTCAAGTACTGAAGAACTGCATGGCTAATTGGATTCCTCCCTCAAGGAAAGCTGTGAGGTGTGAGGCACTTGGTTCCCGTTGCTTTTTGTCTGTGTTATTTGGGTCCCTTTCTCTTTCAGGCTCTGGTGAAAAATCCTACTGTCACATCTCAGAAGGAGGTTACTGTGGCAACCTTAACTCTTGCTTTCTTGGCTGTGCAGCAGGCGTTGTGCCTTATTATGAGATGATTTTTGAAGGTTGTGGAGCTTTTGCAAACCTGTCTGTTCTCCATGGGAAAGGAGAAAGTTCTGCTGGGGGTAGTGTTGGCCCTGGGAGCTCCATCGAATTTGGAGCTCCTTTTCTAGGAGAAATTACAGCCCTCCTTCATGTTCTTTCTGATCTTTCCTCGGGTTTCCCTCCTCTCCCTAACCTCCCAGTGACCTGTTCTTTCAGAGAGCATCTAAAAGTGTTTATAGACCACCTATAACTAAGTAGGATGTTCAGCTGTGATCTCTTTTTTCCTGCTGTTTTTCCTCTTATCCTCCCTCTCCGATTTTAGCCATTTTCTCTAGCTGCTGCCTTCCTCTAACGCACAGCTGGCTGTCAAAGACTTGTGGAAGCAGCCTGATAGTAGAATTTACTTAAGGTAAGCTTCCTGACAACAGTGTGCTGGCTGATTTTTCAAAGTCATGTTTTGCTGCGAGGACTGTTTGGAACTAAATTAAATTATCTAGCGCAATCCTTGGTGGATAGGCCAAGGCTGGGAGGTGTAACACCCTCCAAGGCAGTGCTACGTGCATGTATTTTTATATTTACCTGTAATTTGGTGAGGTTTGTTTACATGCAGTGAAATAAGATGAAGCAAAAACCCTAAGAAGAGGAGCAAGCAGAAGGGTCCCATTGGACCAGCACTCGTGGGTTGCTTCCTAATGAGACTGGCAAGGCCAAGAAACGTAGAGGAATTTGGGAGAAATTACCATAGCAGCTTTACTTCGTGTTAGTTGAGGTAACACCTGACATGAAGACTGATAGGCTTAAAAGTGCAGCATCTGTGTGCCTGGCATAGCGATGTGGTGCTGTAAGCATGGGGCTGTGATCCAGGGCACCTGGGTTCTGCAGCCACTTTCTCTGCTGCAGCTCGAAGGATGTCGCTTACCCCACGCTGTTGTTTCTCCTTGTGGCTCTTGTCTGTTTTATCTGTTGTGATTTTTGACTTCCCTCAGCAGATGCTGTCCCCTGTATCTGAACAGCACCAGGCACACTGGGGCTTTGCTTCTTATTGACAGATTTCTTAGCTTCAGTAATGGTGTCTGATGCTGAAGAACTACAATTTTGTCATTTGGAGTTATGTTGGCTTGGGAATGAGTCCAACTCTGATATTCCAACGGGTTGTGACAAAGCAATCGATCCCATCCCTGCTTCCAGTGGAAGGAGTTTAGGAATGCAGGAGGCCATCAGGTACAACGTTCTGGGTTTGTTGGCCTGCTTTGCTTATATGCAAGGGTGTTAAGATGTTTTACGGCCACTTTTTGGGGAAGATTATTGAAGCCACTGTATGATTCTGCAAGAGAGCTACGTCCATCTGTGAACTGTCAGTAAACTTGTGACATGTGGCTGGGAGGTGGCGGGTTCAGGCCTGAGTCCCTGCCATGAAGGACTTGGATTGGGTGTCCACATTTCAGACAAACATCTTGGTTGCTAATCCGTTTTCTGTTATTTTTCCTGTTTTTAGGGCAAAAGGCAGGAACATAGAATGACCACGGCATATAGATGCATTGTGTGCGTAGTGGAAATGTTTCTTGTTTGCGATTCACAGCTGTGATTCTTTCTCACCAGTCTTTAGAGGCATGCTTTATCTTTTCTCTTTCAGAGAGTAGAGATTGAAGGCAAAGAGGACTTGGGAAAACAAATAAGTGATCAGCAGAAATAGTCCAGGGATGCTTTTATCACATGCCAAAAGACTGAGCCCATGGCACTGACATGCAGGCTCAGATTTACTTGTGAACAGTGTGATTTGAGATCCCAAAGACTAAGCCAGTGCTCCCTGATCTTGCATTCGTTATGCAGCTTCAGTACCTTCTAAGATCATGGGAAGATCTGGAAATCTGTTAAAAATGCAGGACTGAGCGTTATGTCACCTTAGGTCCTTCCTGCTAATAATTTAAATGTCAGGAGGCTGCATGGTTCTGTATGGAATGGATCAAAGTATGGCTTGATAACATAAAATAGCTGCTTCAACAGCGTGTAGTGAGGGGGACTCAGGTCTTTGTGCCCTTTGAGTAGCTTTGTTTCCTCACGAGGCTACACTTTTTTTACTTTACTTGAGGATATTTTGCCCAGAATTGGAGAAAGTGTTCGCAAAACTGTGAAAAGGCATAGAAATTAAGAGTTGCTACACAAAATCAGAAATCACAAAGTTAATTCATTACCAATTAGCTTGCATTTCAGTACAACTTAGTTGATTCAGTGCCCCATTCATTATGCAGAACAGGGAAAGGTTTCTCCACTGAAAGCCCCGTCACACTGCAAGCAGGTCTTTGGGAGGCACCAAGGAAAGTCAGCTGTTATGGAAACCATCAGGATCCTTCCTCACATCCCACATGGGCATTGCTATTTGGAATTGCTGTCCAAAATGATTAACCAATGATGGTTAATTCAAGAACACACCACCAAAAAGCAAAGTGGAAGCCACACATATTTAGCCTGTGTACAGGGAAAGACAAAGGCTGATGGCAGTGTATGAAATAAATCATTGCCATAGCTTATCAACTTGAGAGCATGAACCATTGTTAGCCTGCATTCTCTGTATTCTTTACCAGGTGCCAAGATGACTCTAGGAAACAATTTTTTTGTAGGGTTGACTGTCGTCTTATCTGAATTACGTTGGATGATAGAGATCTGCATAGGATAGGAAGAGGAATTTATCTTCCCTAAATGTATTATCTTCTCTTTTTAAGTTAAGTTTGCAGTGCTTTCCTAGCTTCTTTGTTTGCCTTAGTAAGACTCCATGTCCTATGTGCATTCACTCTTGCCAAACTTGTAGGAACTTAATAACTTTTGAACATCTCACTTTTTGCTGAATTTAAATCAAACTGGTCACCAAGTTCAGTAATTCCTAGGTGCTGGCAGACAGAGGGCACAAGCAGTGCATGCTTCTTCTTAGGAAGTGAGACTAATAAAAAAAGGTCATATTTTGTTTCCTGTTCTCAATTAATTTATGTTGCTCATAAAAACAAAATCCGTTTTCTTAGAAGTATTGTTTTAGAATTTAGAACACGGTAGCAAGTGTGACTCCCCAAGGCAATTCTTTTCTTCTTATAACTTCTTAAATATATGTTTCTGTGGTGGTACTAAAATGAAGTAGAGAATTCACTCTAGACAAGGTGTTAGATGATGTGCATAACATAATTACTATGGAAATTGCTATAACACGGACAGCTAAGTATAAAATTTGTTTTTTGCCTGTAGTAATTTTGGATTCTTTTTTTTCGCTAAATGTTATGATCCTGAATTGGAAGAATTCGTTTTGGTTGAAAAAAAAGTCAAAAAGAAAATAACTGTGTGCAGTTCCAGAGTCACGGAGTGGTTGAGGGTGGAAGGGACCTCTGGGGTCCCAGAACTGGATGCAGTGCTCCAGGTGAGGCCTCCCCAGGGCTGAGCAGAGGGGCAGGATCCCCTCCCTCGACCTGCTGGCAGCACTCCTCCAAGTGCAGCCAAGGGTCCCATTGGCCTGCTTGGCCACAAGGGCACGTTGCTGGCTCGTGGTTAACTTCTTGTCCACCAGGGCTCCCAGATCCTTCTCCATAGGGCTGCTCTTCAGCAGGTCAGCCCTCAAAGCTTTGCTGAAACCAACGTAGGCAACATCCACTGCTCTCCCATCATCTACAGCCAGTCATTCCATCAGAGAATGCTACCAGATTGGTTAAGCCATGCTTGGTGAATCCATGCTCATTGCCTCCTGATCACCCTCTTTTCATCTTTTTTTTTTAAAGGCAATATAAAAATGATACCACTGTTCCCACTTTTTTTTTTTTTTTTCCTCAATGAGCACTGTTACATTTGTTCAGTCCAGTAATATTTTTTAAAACTGCTGGTCCTGCAAGCTCAGCAGTTTTTAAAAATGAAGGTTCTGTGCTCCTGTGCCCAGACCATCACACATTATCCGAAAAAATAACAGTGGAATTGACAAGAAATTGAAATTTTGGTTCTCTCTCTTGCTGCCAGCACTGAAAATGTGTCTTTTGTTTTATATTTTTTTTCCTCAGAGCTATACTTTTTCTTCCAGGACAAATTCTAGCAATCTGCTTATTTGGAAAACCTAAGGAAAATTTGACACGAGCAACAGAGTTCTAGCTACAGCTATGGATTGTATCTCAAGAATGGTAGGCAACAAGATTTTTCTTCACCCTTCTCTGAGTACTGTAGTACTGCTGGTTTCATCCAAGGTCTCGGAGACCCATGGGATTGTCACTGATTTGGTGGGAATTTGAATCTGGCACTTAAAAAGGCCTTCCATTGTATCAGTAACCATGCAATGAACAGATTTGGGTTTTACATCCAGTTTTAAATTTATATGAATTGACAAATCCGCTGTTTTAATTTGCATCTGTTCAATACTTAGCCAAAGATTTCTTGGAGCTGATGGGGGATTTATTAAGATGGGTAGCTGCCCTTTGTTTTTGCATCTGTGTTTTCATTCCTAGAAATATTGGCTTTGTCTGGTGAGTGCATGAGGGGTTGACTTTGAGATTTAGGAACCGATTAAATCTATTGTACAGGAGAGAACGATATTCCTACTGCTGCCTTTGGGCATAATTTGAGCTAAAAGCTGTCTGGTTTCTGTTGGAGGGCAACAATCAGATCTATGGTATTTATTTTTGCTCACTGCATCTTTCAAACAACCTAGTAAAACCCTTCTCTTTCTAGCATCTGGCTCTGTCTCATTAACTTGATGAGCCTCAATGCTCCATTCATCCGTTTCTCCCATAAACAGCTCTGTTTTTCATTTTCCTGCTGCCTCCTTTCCATAGGATGTATGCTTATCTGCAAGTTTCTCCTCCTTCCTAGCATAAATCTCATGAAAAATCATTTGAGTCTGCCCACAGTAAGTGAAATAATGACTATCTTTTTGTTAGCTCCTCAGCTGGCAGATACAAACATGGGTTTCAATTTTTTGGAGCCTGGAGTCAGATTTGGCTCTGCAGAGGTAAAACTGCTGTGCTGAGGTGCTGCCTCCTCCAGGTAGGCAACATCAAGGACTGGTGTAAAAGAACCATTCGTTTCCTCTGTATGTTAGGTCACTCATGTCTTTGGTCTGATGGAATTGAAATCTAGGGCAATTAGAAGAAATTCCTTTATTTCCCAAATTTAAAACTTAATTTTCCCATGTACCATTCCATAAGGACAAGGTTTTATTGTAATGATTGCAGGATTTTCTCTCTCTCTCTCTCTCTCTCTTTAGATTTCATACCGAGGCAGGACTCTTTCTCATACAAAACTTGGTAAAAAGGACCATTATTATCCTTTCAGTCTTTAATGCATTCTTCACTTTTTGAACTTGCTCAACTTCCACTTCTTTAATCTTTTAAAAATCTTCAAGGACATGCTGGGGGAGAATGGGTAAGCATCTATTATTGTTGTGCCACTTCATTGTTCTGCATGAAACGAAGCCCTGCTACCTTCAAAGACCTATTCTTTTTCCTTTCCAGGGCAGTGGCTCAAAATATTGTAAGAGGAACATCTTATAACGTGCCTCCGTCTGTTTAACCGTATCTTTGCTGTGCTGGCAGCGTGCAGCACAGCGGGTTTCTTCGTAGAGGTTTGTTGCACACTGCGTTTGGGACAGGTCTGTGGAAATAGTGCTGTGGGGGATAGCTGGGACCATGGGGGAAATGTTCAAGATGCCGTGGGAGTGTGTGCACCTGGGCTGCCCCAAGCTGAGCAGCTCCAAGGGCAGGTGGCTGAGCTAAGGGGGAATGTAGGTCCGGGCAGAGACCTGCCCCCCAGCTATCCTCCTGCGCTGTGCTGCTCTGAAGCCCTGCTGTCCTGTCCCGACTTGAGAGAAGTTACTCAGAGCACAGAGCCCCGTAGGTGTGCACGGGCATGTCTGTAACTCTAGAGATGTTCATTTGTTCTGTAATCCACCTCAGGACAGATGCGAGACACAGAGGCTGGTATTCCAGGAGCTGTCTGTGCTCTCCACCAGGCGTGCTGTTTTAATGGTGCCCTGTGTGCCAAGGCAAACCTGGAAGTCTCCTCCTTTTTGATTTTTACTGGCATTAAATAGAGCCCAAGGGGGATTCAAATGGCATCAAGCAAAGCTCCGGGCTGAATTCTTCCGATGGTCCATCACTGCTAACTGATAAATCTATTATACAAGCCTGAAAGCCGTGTGGGACAAAGGATGTTGAACAAAGCTGTATAGATAATCCATAAACACTGTCCTGCTGGGAAACAGCACAGAGAACACCGCTACCTTGGCAATGAGAGATCTGAGGATAACGCACCAAATCCTGTAATTAAATGACTTTTAGTGTTCCTAAATGTTATGTTTCATCTAGACTTCCTAAACAGAATTAATTAGAAGCTAATTAAAAGGGCCTCCTGCTTTCTTTCAAAGTATCTTTCTGGTATCAACTATAGCGAGTTTATCTACTCCCAGAGCACCATGAATCATTCCCCTGCTTAAGGGAAAATTGATTGCTGTTCTAATACTTATTGAATACCTATAACAGATGTTCAAATCTCTACAAGCTTGAGATAATTAAAATAATAAATCTATACTCATTTGACAAGAATGTTAGCAGGAATCAAAGATATAAATAACCCAGTGGAGCCATAAGATGTTATTCTGCCGAGTGCTACGATCGTGTTTGTATGGAAATTTTGAGCCTGATTCTACAGCCGTTATTTAGGAAACATTCCCATCAGGGGATGGTGTCCTGAGCAAGGCAGCGCTCAGTAAAGGTGCCAGAATCAGGGCTCAGGGCTGCATACCAGCGGTCCTCACTCACTGGAGTTGCAGATGTCCTGTTCTGCTCCCCAACACCAGAACCAGAGAGATATTGATCACTTCGTTTAAACCAATGAAGTGTGAGTGAATTATCTCTCAGAGTACAGAGAATGAAAGCACAGACAAGATAGCACATTACACAGGCAGGAAGACAATGTCTGGCACCTCTGTACACGGAGAGACCTTCCTATGCTGGCTTCTCTGCTTCAGGCCTTGGCAGTAGCTGGCTTTAATCCTTTCATATGAGGCCCATGAAGACACAATAATGGTAAAAATTACTCTCCTACCTAACCAGTCACTGACCAGTAAGTACATCCAACAGGAGAAGCAGCCATACATGGGGAAGCTGCTGACCAGATGAGGAGTTGTGCTCGTTTAACGGGAACCTCCAACACTAACGCTGTTGTTTTATAAAAGAGCTATGGGACTAGAGGTCTCGATTCCCATAGTGTGGCTTGTATGACAATTCAAGACAAGAAAATGAAAAAGCATTTTAAAAATCAGCATTTCTTTTCTTCTTACCATGGTGGTAGCTTTGTGATTAGCTGCAACATCTTCCTCTTTTCAGTCTAATGAGCATGTTAAGCTGGGTTTCTTTGTGTAGTTTCTGGCACCATGTGTCCTCTCTCTGTCAGCTTCTTAAGATCACTTGAAAGGGAGATTAGTGGGAAGAATGCCATGGCAGGGTTAGGAAGATAACTTTGCAAGGCTCTCTCTTGTTCCTTTCCTCTAGCCTTTGTGCTCTCCCACAAGGATCCTGGCTGGTAAAGGAGGCCCAGCACGGCTAAACGTGAGGCAGTCACAGGCACACACTATCAGTGGGTCGCCCTTCGTGGTGTGTAGCACTCATGCAGCACACACATCCTTGGCTGGGTCTGCCAAGTGCCTGGCAGTGTCCCTCTTGTGCCCTCGTGTTTGCTTTGCTGTGATAGCTGTCCTTTCAGGGGCTCTGTTTGCACTGTGACTTCTTTTATCCCCTTTGCAGCTCTATTAGCAAAGAGATCTACCAGCACTTCATTCATTCTGTTTTTTCTTCCAGGGCAGATACATATAAATAAATAAATCTTTGTCAAGGGAACTCTAATGGTATGCTCCTATGTGGATAATTACTACTTCTCTGTCAGCAAAAGGTTGTAAAAAAAAAGTTCCTTTTGGGAAAATGCAGTAGAGACTTTTTCCTGGCAGGCAGATATTGTACAGATGTTCCTCTCTGGATAATACAGCTGAAATGCTCCTTGTAGGGTAACCTGACACAATCGCTTCTGTTGGGCTGATTTCTGTGTTACTGAAAGGCTGTTGACTGTTTTCCTAGGATGGAAAAAAAAAAAAGCCTTCTATAGTTTCCTCCTACTGGGAAAGCATTATTCAGGCACCTGCTTCTGTCAGGATAATAGAAAATAAAAAATGCTCTTTTTCTCTCCTTAAATGCATCAGCATCTCACTTCAGAAAAGCTGTTAAACACGTGCTTCAATCTGCATTTAGAGGGCCAGATCCCTCCCTGCTCAGCTACTGCCGAGCAGTGCCCGCAGTGCTGGGAGCACGGGTGTGCAGGTAGGGGCAGATGGACTTGCTGCGGGGGGCACGTTGCTGCCGGAGCCCTTCGTGGGGCTGGGCTGGGTGGGCTTTCTCCTGGCATTGTTCGTCTTGCGTTGAATCGTCCCAGGCACGTTACCTGGGGGAAGCTTTGCCTGCTGCAGGATCCGTGGTGGGGAAAGGCAGAAAGGCAGACCTGGCCAAATGAGAAACCTTCCTGATTTCTGTCCCCAGCTGCAGCTGGATGGTGCTGCAACGCTCAGCTCCAAGCCCCAGCGCTTAGGAGGGCCTGGAGGAAGCGGCAGGTGGTGCAGTGGCTGTTTGTGCTTGGTGCCTCTGTGTAAACACGGTACTTTTGGGAGGGAAATTATTACCTGTCTCTGTCTATAAGCACGAACTGCTGCTTGGCCCGTTGCCTTGTGCCAGGCACTGCCACTCGCGGGAGCTGGGAGGAGAGGAGCCCAGAAGAGCTTGTCAGCCTCAACTTGAGGATATGTATGTGAGAAGGCTTCTTTTTTCTTCTTCTTCAAACCTTTTTTGCCAGTGGGGGTGGGTGGGGAATGGGGAGACAACTTGGGGCATTTCAGATACTTTAGACTATCAGCTCTATAATGAAAGGGTTGTAGATTAAAGAGTAGGCTTTAATTGCTGATGAATCAACGTGCTGTGCATGATGTGTGTACAGGAGAAACAGAGAGCTACTCAAGGAAATTACTGCTTTTCACCCTCCTAATTACTGCTGCACTGAGGTCTAGGCAGAGGTCTAAGTGCTGCTTCCCAGTTGCTTTGTGTCCAAGAATTCTGACAAGTAAAAGGAAATGAAAAACGTTTTGTAGTTCAGTCAGGTCCAATCTGATCTCATTCCTTTCTGTCAGGCTGTCCCCTCCTTGTGAACTACCAGTGGTGTCACCGTGCAGAGGGATGGTGGCATCCCTGCCCCAGTGATGGAGCTAACTGGCAGTGGTCGCTTTGAGAAGACTGCTGTGGAGCTGGTCTGAGTGCGTCTAACATTGTTTTTTTTGTTTATTTTATTTTCTGTAGGACCAAGACTTGGAGACTTTGTGAAAACTGTTTTTAAAGATGCTTTGTATGAGCCAAGCGTTCAGGTGTGGTGCTCGGTGACGGCAGTAGTTGCTGCAGAGGGAAGTTAAAGCACTGCTGTGCTGCTTCACCGTGGAGAAAGAATGGTGTGAGGAAATCAGGTAAATGTTAAATCCAGTGGAGCTCACCCAAGGCAAAACTTGATCAAGTGATACATCAGCTGGTTGAGTGATTCCCTGGAAAAGCACAAAGAAAATGATGGCCCATTTAAATGGTCTGGACCTGCTGCATGGATCTCACTATGTAAAAAATGTATCTCTCTGTCCCTAAAGCAGATGCTTTGGAGGGAGAATATGATGTTAGTGCAAAACATCAGTATGGGTCCTGGAGTCACCCTGCCCAAGGGAAGCACAAGGACACCTGATGGGTGCAGGGGCTGGGAAGAGGATGTGGAAATTCCACTTTGCAGGCTGTTGCTCTGCCCCCAGAGGTTTGAATTAATACAGATGTATTGCAGACTTTCATGCCTTCCCTTTGTACAATTTGTTTTCTCCTTTCTCAGGAGGAATACCTACTAGTGTAGAGTTTCTGCTGAAAACCAAATCTGTGAATCCGTGACACTGCAGCATCTTTACTGGATTAACTAGCCCCAAAACAGCAGTGATGGTGGGGAGACTGCCTCATCTGCTCCAGCTCCTTGGAGTTATCAGTGAGTAAAACCGAACTCATAGGAGAGGGAGAAATACCTCAGGAGCTTTAAGGAATTGGGGAATCCAAAATAAAGGATTTTCTCAATGTTTAAGCAATTATTCCTTTGATAAAGTGTGTGTAAATGTCACAGCTTGGTTGTTCAGGCACGTGGGGATGTATTTAAGTACAGCTCTGCACTGTGCAGAGGGTAAAAGATGCCTCCTAGCCTTGCTGTTTCTCTTCCTCTGTGAACAAGAAATGTTTGCTCACAGAGGAGGAAGAGCTTCATCTGCCCAGCCTGATACTCTGACCAGCAGGTTGCAAGGTCACATCGCTCTTTCTTGGGTGTGACGACCTCCCTCCCCAGAGCTTGCCTTGCACTTGAAATAAAGTGCCTTAAGTTAATTGCAGTTTACTGCTAGTTTTTGGAAGAGGCTTTCAGTATTCACATATTTCTTTCCAGCAGTAGATGGCAGCAATTTTCTTAGTCCTGATCTGACAAAATCTGCATGTTAATTACTGTAAATTAAAGTATTTTAAAACTAAAGGTTTCAGTTGCCCTTTTCAGCACTCATTATTAACTAAGATGTGATCCCTGCTTTCCCCTGATGTAGAAGGTGTCAGAGGCCATTCATCCACCGATGGCTGGCCTCAGCAGCAGATCAGAAGCCGAGTCAGTACCGTGCTGGGCAAGAGCAGAGACGAGTTCTTGAGCCTGCCTGTGCTTGTCTTTTGTAAAGCCCAGCCAGCACCAGGGGTGCCGAGAATGGTCCTCCAGGCACCAGCAAGAGGTAGAACAGCCTCCAGCTCCTTTGAGGTTATGCTGGAGGCTAACACAGGTAAGGGAAGCACATGGGTCCACATCCTTGTTTTCAGCTAGGAAGGGAACAAATAGCCTAGCAAATAATAAAGTACGTAAACACCATGGTAAATGGTTATTTCTGAGACAGATAATTTCTGCTCTTTTCTTTTTCTTCAGACTGTTTAAATAGTCAATCTGTGTGTATTACTCTAAGCTGACTTTTTCCCCTTGTACATGTATTTCCAGAAGATGGTCCTTAGGAGACTTATTTTTGAATGAAGTGTTCATGTTCAGTACAGAGGTTTGCAACAGAAGCTGCAAAGTATGAGAAATAAATTGGGCAACATTACTACATGAATCTAAAATATAATGGCTCCTGTTACGTGCCCATGGAAATAATGAGGTTGGAATTAGGGAAGCTTCATCAACTTTAAATGAAGAACTGATCTCCAGTGGACAGAGAGAAAAAGGATTTTAATGATTGTTTTAAACCAACATTTGGCGTAATAAATGTTTAATGCATTTGTTCTAAAAAAGAATTAACTGCAGTGCCACATCTTATTCAGGGCACAAGCACTGCTTCTGTTTGGTACTTCCTCCATCTTTGCTCTCTTCCAACATCTGTGATAAGCTGAGATTTTTAATGTTTATAATCCATGTCAGGATGTCTGATATATATACCCCTCTGCTACTGCTTTTGATGGCGTGTCTGCTTGACTTGGCTGTGTCACATGAAATGCATCTGCAAGGCCAAGAATCAGGCAAACTCATAATTGGGCAATTGTGTTACAACCGTATTAAGCTCTGCTCACCCTGAAACATCGCAGGAATTACGAACTGCAGCTTTGCAGTCACGTGTGCTCCATTTCTAGCTGTACATTAGGAACCCGCACGCTATGTCGTGTTTAAAAATGTGCCCGCAGTGTAATGCTGCTGCGTGCAGGGGCCTGACCTGCCCCAAATCGGAAGGAAAATTAGAAGGGGATGGGGAAGGATCCCTGTATAAGGAAGGATCCTTGTATAACTTGGGCATTGTCACCATCACAATCGCTGTGGACAGCTGACCTATCTAGCGAGGGAGATGAAAACCTTCTCCTTGCTCATTAAAGGAAATCAGGTGTTAGATCTGAGCCCGAGGTGGTTCTGCCTGAGCACAGCTGTTTTCACAGGGGCCCTGGGGGAGCTGAAGGGATTTGGAGCATGATACCAGTGCTTGTAGGTTTAATGTGATGAATCACACCTAGGGCCTGAGCAACCTGGCTGGGGGCTCTCAGCACTACTCGGAGCAGTTTTAATTTGGGGCTTTCTTCCTCTTGCTGGTGTCTGAAGAGTGACAGGCTGAGAAAGCAATTGTGGTTAACAGCTTGTGTGAGAGTTCACTTTTCCTGATAACTTTCCAGAGCTGCTAGGAGCTTTCAGCTAGAACCTACTACTGAACCATCCTGCCCTCCCAAGGACAGGACTGCATCTTCTGAGCCTTCTGCTGGCTGTCCAGATGATGCCTGGAAAGTATTATTGGGTCTCAGTTTTGTTTCTTGAAATTACAGCAGAGATGTTGTGTGCTTCCACAGAAGTAGTTCAGTAGTTGGTACTGGCAAAAATGCTCTTGCTTGCATCTTGGGTAAGTGACTAGTTCTGAAATTAGCCCTTAATCAAAGAGAAGCAGTCAAGGGCTGTCTGCTGTCCTCTAAAGCCTCCTCAAGGAGCTCCTCAGTCATTCTCTTTGCTCTTTCACTCTGGTTGCTTTTACGTTCTCCTGAGTACACTCTAAAGGTGAAAGTGCTCGTGGGACTGGATGTTCACTGTTAAAGCTGTTTTCTTCCAGGTGCTCCTTTTGACCTTGCTCTGTTTCCCCTGCTGAAAAGGTCAAGTACACATTGAGCAGAGCTGTGCCTACCTAACAAGTATCCTACCTTTTCCCGTGGTAGCAGGACCATTTCGCAGTGAAGTGCTCCCAGCAGAGAAATGCAGGTAAACAAATACGCTCGTACACTTCAGGGGCTCCTGCAGACTCTGGCTTGGAGCAGCAAGGTGAGCAGGAGGCAGCCCCTGAGGCACAGGGTGAAGGGGCTGGTTTAGGAGGAGGGGGCTGGGAGGATGCAGAGCAGAAGCTGTCTGCTGGGTGGGAGGAGAGGGATGAGCCTGTGCATGGAAATAGCTTGTCCTGGCACTCGTACACGGCTGGTGTGAAAGGAAAGCAGCAGAAGTTGCGAGGACCACATTGTTGAGTCCAAGTCATGTTAGGTGTCTTTGATGCTCACTTTCAAAGTGATGTTTAGGCTTTCTATTTATCTGTTTGAAGCCTCTGAAATTCTCTCTGCCTGACTACATCACCACTATGGGCACTTGTGTTTTCTGGAAACAGGCCGTGTGATACCTCATGCGTCCTCCCCAGAGCCTGGGTTGGAGTGATTTTGTTCTCTGAAGTGCTTCATGCTTTAAAGCGACTGTTTGGGGTCTGTGGTTGTCTTCTCCATGACTCCTCAGCATGCAGATTTGTCTCTGAAGCCCTGGGCTTTTTTGCCCCTTGCTACTGCCAGCACCATAATTCTTTGGGATGTGCTGGCTTAGTGCTGCGTTTTGACCGTGTGCTGCTGTAGCTGCTGTGCAGGGTTTGTTTGCAGCTTTGTCATGAAGGTCGCACGGGGATCTGTGACAGCAGGGACCAGCTCCCTTTGCTGGGGATGAAATGTAAGCGCTCTCATTATCAAACATGCACCACGCTCCCGCTCAGCACAGGCTACATCTGCCGGGAAGTTGAAAGGCGATGAGTTTGCATTAGACAAGTAAACTTGAAATATGAATTCTCCCTGTCTGAGATCCCTGTGGCCCTCCCGATGCAGTCCTTTGAGCAAGGGCTGTCATGTACTACATGGCTGTGTAGCTTAGCACAATAGGGCTCCGGCTCAGCTGATGCCTCTAGATACCAGCAGGAAATAAATATTAATAACACGGGAGCCTCCCTGCTTGCTGTGTTCCCGTTTCAGGCCCTCTTATTGCTGCTCCTTTGCAGCTGGAGAAATGGATGCAAAACGATCATCTCCTTTCAAATAACGCTAGAGCTGGAAGTGGAAGGGGCCAGAAGGGGCAGCTGAAATAACTACGAGCATAGGGGGACTGTCATCTGAGACGGTATTAAGCAAGATAAATCCCACTTAATTCTAAGAGCAGGCTAATAAAGAGGAGTGTGACAGAAGGATGTGTAATAATGAACAGCACTGAGAGGGTCAGTGGGGTTATGCCTCACTGTGTATTATTTGCAACACACAAAAGGGATGTTCAATGAAATCCGAAGGCAATGAACTTGAAATGGGTAAATGAGTTCTCTTTATACTCTGTGCAAAACTTAACCTGGTAGACCTCGCTTCTGCAAGATCCTGAGTTGTTATAAGACATACTAAGATACAAAAGTGGTGAGGATTTTATGTGCCACGCTGTTTAGATCTATTCAGTTCATTTAAAAACAGTTTATCTTCATGTGTTAGCCAGAAACGAGAGCAAGCTCTGCTTCAGATGCAGAAGCAAGCAACTTCCTACAAAAATCCTATAAAAAGTATAAAGTGAAGACTATGCGAAGCAGAACATATAGCTTTCAAAACTTTGTCTTTTCAGTATGATTGGGAAGATGAGGTGCTAAACAGGGTAAAGGTTGATCTGGCTGGTTAGACCATATGCTCTGATAGGACTGTAGGCTCAGAGAGACTGGATTCACAACTGGTTTTCATCTTTTCATAGAATCACAGAATGGCTTGGGTTGGTCAGGACCTTAAAGTCCATCTGGTTCCAACCCCCTGCTATGGGCATGGACACCTCCCACCAGCCCAGGCCACTGTTTTTTGTATTATTATTAATAATTAAATAATTATTGCTTCTGTGGTTTTCATTGCACCTGATGTTTATTTTTTGCTTTCTAGAACTTGCTAGAAGATTCTCATGGCTGGGAAAAAAAAAAAGTGATGGAAGTATTTAACGCATGACATTATTTATCTTTAGGATAAATGACTGCAGATTTAACTTTGTTCTAAAATTGATTACATCTCTTTTGCACGCTTGATGTTATCTGTGGGGCTTTCAGTCATGCCTGTGATTTAGTTATCACACGGCATCGGGTCATACCTGCGGCTCTGGAGCCTGAAAGAATTGGATAGGGTTAGTGCTACCCTGGCAAAGTAGAGATGAATTCCAGATAGGCAGACCAAAGTAGGTCGAACTACTTGATGTGGTTTGCATGGATTCCTCCAAACCCAGGGCTAGATTCCCCTCTTGGTTATGTTAGCATGGACTCCATTCAGTAGTTACCAGTATTCATTTAGGCAGAACAATTTCACCTGTAAATCTCTTTGGCTGATGTCCGTGCTCAGCAAGGCGGGCTACCAATGTCAGACATCCTGGACAGATGGCCACTGGGCACGTCAAGCAGTTCTGCGGGTCAGATCACTGCCACGTGGAGTTACTACGTCCCTCGTGGGATATTGTGAACGTCACGCTTTGGACTGCCACAGCATGGAGAGTCCGCTCCAAAGTCCTCCTGTACCAATAGCACATCCTGCAATGCAACTGAATCTGGCCACTCCGAAAGGTACTTCTGGTGTCTGATGATAATTTCTCATTGCACTGAAAAGCAGAAGGGAAATTGTTTTTCAAGACCTGATGGGATCTTGAAAGCCCTGAGTAAACCTGCTCTGATCTCATGGCTGACCCTGCTTCAAACAGGGAGCTGGACTAGAGACCTCCTGAAGGTCTTCTAGCCTGACTTGTCCTGTGATCCCAAGCAAATAACGTGCCTGCAGGGTCCGTAACCCTTAGGGATCCTGTGTCACAGTGTGCCAAACTGCGGCTGGTGACAGGCAGGAATCTGCCCTTGTCTGGAGGATCCTTGACTTTTCTAGCTTGGTGTGAGCTGCTTGTGCCTGAGAAGTCTCTGGTCCCTTATCTGTGGTGGTGGTAAAACAGCAGCTAGTGTGGGAGAAAGCAGGCTGCACACCCTGACTATGAGTTGCAAAAACTTATTTCCCCTCTGTCTGGGGTACATTTTATGCTGGGTGTCAGAACCATTGACACACCTGGTGAAAGTTTCCCCAGAGTATTTGGTACTAAATTATTTCCAGTTGTGTAACACCTTTGTGTTTCAGAATATGTGAATAACGATCCAGAGACATTGGCTGGAAGTCAGCATCCCACGAATACAATGAAATTTGAGACAATGGTCACTGATCATCACAGCATCCCAGGACCGCATGGGCACTTGGTATGGTAAAAAGTTTATTTTCTCAGAGTTTATACAGGTACAGTAAAACTGAACGCAGTTCCTCTGGGGCCTTCTGCTGCAGTCACTGAAATCCGTGTTTAAACCAGTAAAGCGCTTGGTCCTTGCCGCTTGCTTCGAGTGAGAAAATACAGCTGCAATAGTGCAGTGCTTATGTCTAAAGCTATTTTAGAACTAAATTTTGTTCAGTAAGACTCCTTCAATCCCACAGAGACCTTTCAGCAGAAGGTTATTGTATATTTTCTATATTTTCTAGCTTTTTTTTTTTTCCTTTTGCAAGGGGGAAATATTCCCACAGGTGCTTAGGAAAATAAAATAAGAAACTGAAATGCCAAATGTCTCAACCAGTCCTGCTTAGCACTGAACACGGGCATCTACTGAATAGAGAAGGCAACAGAAATAACTCCAGTGTTTGTTTTGCAATCAGCTCGTTTGCACAGAGGACCAGCAGGGGAATTCAGTCTGCTGGCATTGTTGGCTATTTTAATTTTCAGATGCAGCTGTACAATCAATTGTGATCATCAGTCTCACTAACATTCTTATAAATACAAATCAAGTCAGTCAAAGGGCTTGGGTTTACATCTAATTATTAAAACTGCTGAGTTGGAAACCACTTTTCACTCCTGGTTTTGAACCTTTTGCTGTACGTGAGCCGTGTCACCCATAATAGCCATCCCTCAGAGAATTCCTCTAATCCATCTGGTAGCACAAATAGTTGAGGGATTCAAAATAACAAGGAAATTATTTACCTTTCTAAATAGGATACGGAATGGCTTTCTTGCCTCGTTACAGCAGCTCAGACACTTGCACAAATGTGTTAAGCTGCTTAGAGAGAGGATTGTTTGTCCAGGTAATGCGTCTTTCGGCAAGTTAAGCTGCGAGGAAAGCAAATGCCTGACTTCGTGGAATTGGGGAATTCTGGAGAAATTGCCTCTGGGAGAAATTTAAATAAATAAATGGAGAGCTGCTGATTTCTTTCCTTCCTTGCCTTTATTCTGGGCGAGTTATTCGCTCTCTGTGCAAATGGGTCTATGCAACGCTAATAAGGAAGTCGTTTAATTATGTAAAGCTGCTCCAGGTAAATGTTATTTACAGATGGCTGAAAAATTTTGAATTATACTCATTTGCCAAGTGTAACCTCACTCTTTTCTCTATTGCTGGAGTGGTGTTTGTAGTCGTCATCAAGGTAGCTGCAGATTGTGTGCTCCTGTTTGCAGCTTTCTACCCATTCGGAGTGTTTACTTTCTTTGTGATTTTTAAATGGTAACCCTGCAGGCGTTGTGCACGTAATTGAAGTAAGCAATCTGCTTGTTTATCCCTGTTTCCATTAATTAAATACGTGCAAGCTAAATTTCCTACTGACAAACATGCGATGACATGCTAAGGGGCCAAATCTGCTTTCTCTCACAGGGCTGAACTGCCAGCAGTGGGGATGTCTCCAGAGCTGCATCTGTCGCCATCTCAGCTCGGGCCAGGCGGTGAGTGGAGGGCAAACATTTCACACTGGAAGAAACTGGAGGAATGCCCCAAGGGGCCCCTTTTTTTCACAGCATCTGTGTAAGCCCTCATGATGTCCTTTGGGCTTGCTGCAGGCTGAATGTACGGGAAGGTAAGTGCATGTCCATAGGACACCCCGAAGCTACGGTGTTGCCCCTGGGCAGTGTGAGATGGTGCTCCAGGAACTTCGCCCTCTGCCCAATGAATGCTTTTCTGTAGGCAGCTTTATTTTTCCCTACTTTGTTCAATGCTGTCCCAGTGCTTGAATCTTCACTTATTTATAAACAGCAAAGGTGCACCTACTAACCTGAATAGTTGCCCTTGACCTACAGCAGCACAGCAAGGCCTAAAGGTGCTGTTACTTGCTGAGGGATCTCTGGGCCAAGATGATAATTTGCTTCTTGGCAGATTGTTTGCCTGGGTACCAGCTCTGAGTGTTGTTGGTGGTTCTCATTTGAGGCTGGTGCTGCCTGCCTGGCTGGGAGCTCAGGGAGGGTGGGGAGTCACACAACTTAATCCACAGCAGTGGCTGCTGCTCCCGATTATAACACGTTCTCATTCAAATCACTGAGCAGGGGCACATTGAAGCCCTGGCACGTGGCAAGTTACAGCAGCAGCACACCGTGGGCACAGACTTGGGGACATGGCTTGGCCATGGCTGGGCCAGGGGGCATGCAGGCGTGCTGTGCTCAGCAAGCAGGTAACTCTGCCCAGCTGCCTCAGACCCAGCTTACTTGAAAGGAAGTTATATTTTTTATTTGTTTGTTTGTTTATTTGTTTTAACCTCTTTTTATAAGGAAACACATCTTATTTGGGGCTCAGCAGAAAATGGCTTTTCTGGCTCTGCTGTCCTTAGAAGAGACAGGACTTACTCGGCCTCTCCTTTGCAGAGGAGGTTTGTGCAGGATCAGTTGTTTTCTAAGCATCTTGGCTGCTGTGGCTGAGTAATCTGTCCTTCGTCTCACCCCAGGCTGGGTGAAGAGCCTGTAAGAGGGAGTCCCACCCTCATGGCAGACCTTGCTGCTGCTGGGCAGAGCCGGGGAGCGTGGGCACTCCGTCTGGATCGACCAGCAGATAAAGGCGAGCACGTACCTGTGTGCTTTGTGAGAGCAGGGCCTACCACTGCTTGCTGAAAGGGATAAATAAGTGGTTCTTCAAAGCTAATGGCCTCTTTTGCTTGTATATATGTGCTATAATCCCATTGCAATCCTGTAACAGCCTCCCTGATGTCAGAGTGGCCTTGTATACGCTCACAGTAATGAGCTATCGCATCCTAACTCCCTGCCCAGCCCACACCCTCGTCCCTCTCGCCTTCCCTCTGTTGCTCTGAATCATTTTTCTTTTTCTCGCTTGTTGCTTGCCTGCAGCGATAGGTGCCTGCCCTTTTGCTCACTGGGAGGCTGGCAGTAAATCATATGTTTACTTTTTTTTTCCTTTTTACATTCAGGAGCAGCTCCTTTGCTTAGTTTGAAGCAGAATAAAAGACCTATAAATGGGGAGAATCCTGAAGGTAAGTACTTTACTGTGGACTTAATGTCAAGGTACAGTACACACAGTCGCTTTTACAGGGACCATTTAAAAACTGTTATCCACTGTATATTTTAAGGGCAGAGACATAATTCAAACATCTGATTGACTACCTGGAACGTTGATTCAGCAACATTTTTATTCTACAACTTTTATTTTTAATAAACCTTGATCTGAGAAATACCGAGAACATCAAACATTGTGTTCATTGCCCTTAGTGGATTAATTCTGCCATCTGAGTTGTGACAGATTTGCAGTGACAGACAGGCAGAGAAAGAAATGGCAAGGTCTAAGAGAGGAGCAGTGGAAAAGTCGCTCCTGTACATTTGAGGACCGCTTAAGTGTTGTCTTCCCTTTTCATTGTAGGAAGTGTTATTTCTGATACTTCTCCAGGTGCTGATGGCTCCAGGGAGGACATGATTCAGTGATCTGGGATCCCTGCAGAGACCACAACACCATCTTAGTCCCTGTCTCAGAAATGGGGAAATGACAGCGACCTCCAGGGTACCCTCAGCAGACAGAGCATTGCCATGCTCAAGCACCAGAGATTTAAAACAAGGATTCAGGAAGTGAATTGGACTTGAAATATACTTGAGAAAGCTGTCAATCAGTTGTCTGTAGCTTTCAAGTCAGGCTGCTGCTGCTGTTGAATGCGTTGTTGTGATAATCTTTAAACTGAGTTTGTCACAGCATGTCTAAATTCTGGTGATTCCTGTAACTCTTTTCCTGCCCCTGTTCCTGTCTGCCCTCAGACACACCCTTGTGTCTACCTCGGTGTCTGCAGAGCTCAGTGCAGCTCTGCAGCCCTCTGGAGAAGTGTTGCTGGGTTTGTTGCATGGGGTAGGGTGTTTGAGCAGCTTCTGCAGCCTGAGGGTTTTTACTGAACAGCCTCTCCAGGGCTCTCCAGATCTGCTGATCACCGGCATCCTCCCAACAAGCAGGATTTTCATCCGCTTTTGCACCTAACCTAACACCTGCTTCTACTCCCCCTCTCACAGCTATGAGAGATGCTGACTGGGGCTTCTCCACCAGGCTGCATTCTGTGCTCTGCATTTCAGAGGTTTTCATCACATCTCAATTACCTACCCTTGCTCTGACTCTTTATGTTGTTCCTCAGCTCAGCAAGGAGCTCCCTGCTTCCCAGCCCTTGCCCATTTCTTGAGGCCTGGGAGGTGTCCCCCACTCAGAACATTTTGGAACATAGGGTTTACACTGCACAAGGTGTTTCTTCAGGTCCTATGAGGTGCTTGAAGTCAATGCTGTGGTTCTGCTACTTGAGCTAAGGCTGCCTGTGATGTTTGTGCTCCAAAGCTGTGGTTATCGAAATTCCAAGACAACTGGCATATGGCTGCTCTGCTCAGGCAACTGATGCTGTGAGCTGACTTCCAAATCGCTACTTCTGTATTTTGGAACTACAAGAGATGCCTCTGGCCCCAGGCAGTTGGATGGAAACAGCACAATGGTCATCTTATGGAGGCTGAAGAGCACGGGCCATATGTGCCTGCGTGTAGGAGACATACCTGTGTGTTTGTCCTCCGCCTGTTTTCTGCCATGAAATATTAGCACTCAGAAGAGGAATTAATCAAGTAGTGTCAGCATGAACGTTCTGCTTCATTTAAGACAGGATATAACTCTAGCGTGTTTGATATTTCCAAGTACTGGCATTTTTACATAGGTAAGAAACCTTCAAGTCTGAAATGCACTGAACAGCTTCTTACAGGAACTGAAGCCAATTTTGGAGTATTACCGTGTTATCACAAGCCAGAAGCATTGGCAATCAAAGGTGTTTTTGAAGCCGTTAGCTCCAGTTTCACTGACTCGTTTGGTGTTTTTGTCTTTGGTAACACTCATTGCTTTTGAGGAAATGAACTCACTGACAGCTTGGAGGGCAGGACAGGCTTAGGCATACTGGAGAAAAACAAAACCAAAATGCTGTATCTAAAGCCACTGTTTAATCTTTGAATCTGAGATTAAAGCATATTATTTTATTTCCATAAACATTTCTCTTTACAGACGTCCTGGGAGACCGGAATTTGGTGCCTTAAAATAGTTGCATGGACAACAGAGAATGAAAAAGCCTGAGAACAGATGTCCTGAAATGTGTTTATTACCATGCATTAAAGCAGGTAAGCCTGGAAAAGGTATTTTAGCATATTTTTTTGTTTTGTTGACTGCTGCTAATATATTTGATGGCTTTTTTTTTTTTCCTCTCTTCATCTCATTCATAGGATATGGTCACTGGCTTAAAAAGACCTTGAAACATTAACACCAGAACTGAATTACGGATGTGATGAATTAAGGGAGCTACTTGAGCGGGTCGCGCTGGAGCAGCCTGCTCGGATGAACGGTGGCTGTGCAGGTGTGCAAGTGTGGAGTGCCTTTTTCTTGCCAAATGCATTTCATGTATCTATGCCTCAGAAAAACGAAGAAGAGTATTTTCTGCCAAATCCTCTATTGCATAAAAGCTAGAGGATCTTTATGCCTATGTTGCCCTCGAGGTAAAATGAGGTCTCGAGGTCTTAACTTTTGAGCCCTCTCCCCATGCCTCTGGCACGACCTGTGCTCAGGAGAGCCGAGCCAGCCTCCTGCAGCTCCCCTTCCACCTGGAGCTTGGCACGGGCATCCCTAGCTGGGGGCTGTGCCGCTGCGGCTACGCAGCACCAGGCATTTAACACGCTTGGCTCCTTCTGAGCTCTGGCACGCCCGGCAGTGACTGCAGCGTGAGAGTGCCCAGAGCCAGGAAGGACCTCATGCAGATGTAAGCAGGAGCAATGAAATCCTCCTTTTCTGCATGTCAGGCTGGCCCCATGCACCTGCGTCATTTGAAGCCCAGTTGGCTTTTTGGGGAGCACTAGAAAGACTCAGACTCTGTCATATACCATTTAACCTTGACCTTTACATTTTAGTTATGGTGCTGTTCAACTTGAGAAAGAGATGCTTGCTTACGGTATTCAGGTTTAATATAAGATTTATCTATTTGTAAACAAGGATATGAAACAACACTTAAAGATGATTATTGTTATTTTTACCACTTTTCTCCCCTGCTCTGAACCTCCATTTCATTTAGATCTGAAACAACATTTGTCTTTTCCTTTTGCCAACTGACCTGGAAAATCCATTATTCAACTAAATCTAAGCTACCCCAAATACATAGCTTCTGTCCAGAAAAGTAATTTGTTTTCTTTTTGCCGTCAGTCTAGAGTTTCGGATCATTTGTTGTACCCCTTCTCTTCATTGTTATGATTTGCTCTATTCTGTGGCCTGAAATGTGATAATATGAGCAGAACAGAAATGTGAAGTGAGAATATTTTTACAAACAGATCCAAAACTTATTTTGTTTGCTGCAAACACAGAAGTAAACAAAGTGCTATATTAATTTCTTCTTTTCTAGAAGTACCAGGAAAAAGTGGAGAGGGGAAAGAAAATTTGTAATAGAAAAACATAAAGATCAACATCAGTATTTGTTGATTTCTAGGTTTTATTTCCTTTTTATTTTTTTAAACTAGGTTTTTCAAACCATCCACTTGCAGAAATTTGCATTTTATGAGGAAAAAGGTACAAGATATGATGAGATCATCTTAGGTAGCATACCTCTTTTTCCTCAGCTTGTGGCATCTAAAACTAACCGTGCTTGTCATCTTCTCAGTAATTTCTTATCATTGAAGTTAAAATATAATCTAAGTTTGCACCAAATGAGCTGTTCCAAGATGAGTTTGCCAAACTCTGTATTGCAGTGGGATTTCTGCAATTACGATTAGATACTGCCAAACAAGAATGATCTGTGGAATACAAGTGAATCCAGCGCTGATTAGCATCTCTAAATCCCACAAGAGGTTAGAAGCAGCACAACTCACATTTAATCTTTTGTCTCTGTGTCTTCCAACCACAGCTCTTCTGCAGTAGATGAAGCATGACTGAAAAGGGACAAACAAGGAAGAAATGAGGGGCTGATGGAGGGCTTTTCTATTATAAGGGGCTGAACTGCTTTAGGATGTTCTTGCTGCTCACCAGAGGTCTCTGCTGGATTGATTGATCGTGTGGCCGTGTCCCATCCAGAGGACAGAAATTGCTAGTACGAGAGTTTGCATGTTTCTGTGGGCTTATTTTAACTCCTCTCATCCTTTTTCTAATTGATTATTGGTTCTCCCCACCCAAATTGAAATAAACAGCCAAAGGCAGCATTTGTCTTAGTTTTGTCTGAGAAATTACCAATGGGAAATGAAAACATTTCTACTGTCTGTTAGTGGATTTTACATTACTGCTCCACAAACTCTTCTGCACATGAAAAAAAGCTCTCCATCTGAGCAGTTTCACTAACAAGCTTTGTAGCTGCTTGCTGGATTAAGGCAAAGTTAGGATTTGTGTCCGATTTTAATTAATCCCAGGCAGTGCTTCCATTTCTGCTGTTGGCCAGTCAAGAGAGACAGGTAAATAGTCAATACTCTATATCTTTTTACTCTTACCAAAAATATAATGCCTGCTGCATGAAGATGTTACTTCTGCTGTACGCCTGTCATGTTAGTCTCTGGGGAAAGAAATTCTTATTTTCCGATCCATATACTTATGTAAAACAGTCACTTCTCTTACATGCAAAACGTTTAATAATTTTATCTTCAGCTTTCAAACATAAAAGCAAGAAAGTTATCCTATTCCAAACTTAACTGCTTGTGTATGTTGTTGGTATTGCATAAGATTACTGCTCGGAAGACGGTGCATTTATCTTTCACTTGAAATAACCCAGGAGAATGTCAGATGCAAAATGATTTTTGAAATCTTGGCATTTACTGCTGCTTTATACTGTCTGTGTGCAACTTCAGTCAACAGCAGTGACATTACTGTGTGAGTCCCTCCAACTGAAGGGAATTGGCACCCTATTAAGCCTCCTTCTTTGCAGAGCTGAACTGGAAATATGGTATCATGCAGCCCTGGTTTTACCTCCTGACAAGGAGTGATCAGAATCATGGCTGCTGCCAGCCAGGCAGGGTTCTCCCTGTGTCTATTTACCCCTTCCTTAATGGATCTTTCACCCGATATTAGCCATCCATTGATGTCCTCCCCATTCCTTTTGCAGTAGGCTTCATTTTCCTTTGGCTTTTGTCCCACGTAAACGTGACCCTGCCAAGTCTCTCTGTGCTGAGCTCCCTTCCGTGCTCTGTGGTTGCAGCATCAGCATCTCACATCCGTGCGGCTCAGCACTTCTGCCTCTCTGCTCCAGCGACGTGGGTGCTGCTGGCAGAGCAACCCCCGGGATGCAGTGGGACTGGGGACTGTGGACATGGCAAGGGGGTGGGTGATGCTCTGCAGTGTCCTTGTCCTGCACATCTGTCCCTGCCACTTGGTCTCAGGGAGGCTGGACGCTTGGCCTGGCTGCAGTGGTGTCACCCATCAGCTTTGCATCACTGTCTGCTGAAACTAATTGCTGAGTAAGGGTGGTGGTGTTTTTCAGCCTTATTTCCTCTTGCTTCTGGTGGATGTTGCATGGTGGTGTGGTCTCTTCTGAGCGGGAACAAAGATGTGCTGAGTGTCCATGTGGGGCTGCGTTTCCCAAAGATCAAAGACCTGTGCTGCTGTGTACAAAAGACCAGACATAAAGACAATTAATGGGACTTGATGCAGCCGTAAATTCTCTCATCCTGTCATCTTTCCATTCAGGCAAGAAAGATGTGAGAATCATGTAGATGCAGAAGCAGAGCTTCATAGTAAGATGGAGGTCTTCTGATCACAGCCACAGATGATGGCCTCTTCAGGAACTAGCTGCTAGTGGTAGGGTTTATTAGGACAGTTTAGCCCCTCCCAAATTCCCCTACTGCTGCTGGAGGCTGCTCACCTTGTACCCCAGTTTCTCAGCTGGGAGCTCTTTAATTTCTGCTATTTAAAGTCAAACCAAACCTATCTTATTTGGCTGAGGCAGGACACTGAAGCAAGGCGTTCAGCTGGCAGATCCATCAGTCCTTGGCAGGCGAGAAAAGAGCAGCTGGGAGAGACAACCTCTGCTGGTGGCAGTCAGAAGAGGATGTTTAGCCACAACCTAATTGTAAGTGATGTGCATAAATTGATTAAAATAGATTAAGAAATAGACTGGGGACTATTCCCAAGCTAACTGTTGTCAGTGGAAAAGGGTCTTTTTCAGTGAAATCTGTGGCATTGGATCCCAAGCCTAGAAATACATCATGGAATAATGTGGTTAGTGGAAGGAATGGAGAGATCTAACAAATCAAGAGTTGGAGAGCTAAATGGGATTTGAGGTGATGCACTGAGTTCCTGGCTCACCACAGACTTACTGCTTGGTATTGCCCAAGTTAATCAGTCTCTTTGGACATCTCTTCCCAGCATGGGCAGCGATGTGTGTGAAAAATTGATCTCTCTCACAGTTTTATCAGTATGTCCACTGCATTCTCCTTGCTCTTCCTGCACATGCCTACAACACATGGTGTACCTGGCACGTCTTAGCTGGGACCCCTTAGCTGCTTTATATGACACCTTAAGGAAAAAATGTCATAAACAAAGGCCACAATAGGTCTCGTTACTTCCTCAGTGGTGTCCCAGAAGCTAGCATAAGGTCCAGTGCATGGCAGGCTGTTCCTGTGGTCCCTCTGAAGGCTGAGCTTTTCTGCTCCGTATGCAGCTGCATCAACGCGTTGTCGTTCCTCCGGAGCCTGCCAGCTGTATGTCATATCGATCATACTACTAGTGTCTGTGAAATGGATCATTTTCCACAGTGGGTTGTGATGAGAGCAGAATAAGGGGAGCAAAATAAGCTTAAAAATGTCCAGTCTGAGGTATATTCCCCTCATTTTTATGAGTTATGTATGCATTGTTACAGCGTGGCATAGTGTATAATTACCTTTTTTGACTTACTATAAAATGCTAAAGTATGCTTAATGATAGTGCTTTATCTATTGATTTAAAACCTAAACATAAATCCAAGGTATTATTCAATAGAGCTTCACATAACTATATTTCAAAGTTCGTGGGATGCTTTATATCTAGGCTTTTAATCTCTTAATTCAGCTAAAAAGTGACTTGAGTAAGTGACTTGATAAATAATTTAAAAACTAGCACCTTTACACTGTAATCACGCCGGGAGAAATGAAAGAGCAGCTGAAGCGTCAGGGGTTATAAATTGCAGCAAAAGTATTAAAGGATTAGCATCCTGGTGCTGAAGTCGGTGTCACAGGGAGAAGCGAGGTCTCCCGGCAACATCTTGCCCCTTCATAATTAGTGAAAAGATTTATACAGGCGCTATAAACGGGCTAGTTTATTGATCCTTGTCACCGACGAGTTTGGTTCGTTTACTTCAGGGAGAGGAACGCTTCGGGTGGGCCTGCGGGGAGTCCCCGCGCCTCAGTGCCTGAGGGGCCGCGAGGGGCCGGGGCTGAGGGGCCGCTGAGGCCGCCAGGGGGCGCTGCGGGCCCTGGCAGAGCGGGGCGGGCGCACCTGCCGTCGGCGGGCGGGCAGCGCCGCTCCTCAGCCCCGTCAGCCCCGCGCCTCTCCCCTCAGCCCGCCGGCATGGAGGCGTAGCGGGGAGCCGCCGGCAGGTAAGCCCTCGCCCCGCGGCTTTCCGCTCGGAAGCTCGCCTCGGGAGGAGGAGGGGGGATCAAAAAGAACTTGGGACGGGGCTCGGGGGGCTCCGTGCCCCCCGGGGGTGCCGCTCCCGCCGCCCTCTCGTCAGGGGGAGCCCCGTCAGCGGCGGGGGGCTGTGAGGGGCGCTGCCGGGGGAGCCCCGTCAGCGGCGGCTCCTCACCGGGCAGGGAGCCGGCAGCCCGGGGGAGCCTGCCGGGGGTCGCCGCTCAGTCCCCCGGTGTCCGTGCCCCGGCAGCCCCTGGCGGCGGTGGGCGCGGGGCCGGTGGCGGTGAGCGGGGCAGGGCGCGGAGTTGCCTCACGGAGCCGTTCCCGAGCCGTAGTTGGGCAAAGTTACCCCGGGGCGCGGGGCAGCCTCTGCCCCGGTCGGGTCTGCACCCAAACGTGGCTTTGTACCGCACCCTCGCAGCACCCGGCTTTTTATTTTGTATATTTTTCCCTCAGCGTGTTTGCGCTCTGTAGGTTTTATTGGAGTTATTTAAGAAAAACTCCGCGTTCAGCGGGTGCGCGGGGGCTGAGGCAGCGGGACCTCGCCACGCAGGGCAGGGGGAGCGGCAGGACGGGGCTCAGCACCCCCGGCCCCGTGTCTCAGGGCTCCCACCAGCACGGAGCTGCTCCAGGCTCTGTGTTCGGACACCTCAGCAGCAAGAGCAGGCGGCTGCCTCCTGCCCTGCCACCTCACCGTGCTGAGGGACCCCCCTGGGCAGCAGGAGCACGGCGAATTTGGGAAGGACGCGGTGCCCACCGAGCCTTGGTCATGCCGGACCTGAGGCGGGAGGTAAGGCTGCAGAGGGAGCCTGACAGCGAGTCGAGTCCCCGCTGTGCAAACGCTGCTGCTGGGGAGGAGATGGAGGGATAGGTTGGGATTTGGGCTCTGCGAGCCAGCGGGATGTAATGCGCACACAGCAAACAGGAGAAGCAAACGCTCCTGTCAGGTTACTGAGGGACAGGCAGTGCTCGGCGAGCCCACGGTTAAGGAGAGGCTGCACTTGGTGACGTCCAGCGTGGCTTTGCAAGAAACTCCCAAGGATCGACTCGGTCTGAGCGTGCCCCTCTGTGAGGGGAGACCCCTTGCAGGGGGAGGCCGGGGCTCGCCGTGGCCCCGCGTGTTGCTAAGTAGCAGCTCGCACCTCCAGCAGTGTGAGGCAGAGAGGGGAAACCTTCCCCTGCGCCAGCTGGAGCTTGCCAGCCAGCCCCCGAGGGTGTCGGGAAGCGTGCGTCCCATGTGCGTGTGTGTGCACGAGTTGCTGGCCTCCTCCTGAGTGCAGGGATGGCCGCTGGTGGCACCGGGTCGTCCTCACCCCCCTGCATGGGCTGTGGGCAGGTGCAGGGGAGAAAGGGGAACCTTCAGTGTTGGTTGCTCTTTCCGTAAGGCTCCAGAGTTCCCTGCAGACCAGCCTTTTACTTCCACAGTACCTGGAAGCTCACAGGAGATCTGTCTTCAAATTGTTTGGTGATGGATGGGTTAGCAGTTAAACAGCGGGAGGGATTTGCTTTCACGTGATGTAAGGAAAAAGACCCAGGTGAGCCACATGAGGGCATTTAGCCAACTTGTTAGCGGATGCCCCACAGCTGGCGGAGCTCCTGCATGCACATGGTGTCAGCTTTGCCTGAACTGCTCGGTGTGTTGCAGAGCAGGAGCAATGGAAAGCCTTTTAGTCCCTGGGGCTGCTGGTCTCCTGGAAGCATTTTGAGGAAGTGCAGTAGCCGAAGCTCCTGGAAACCACTGTGGGGGGAATTGTACTCCAGACAGAAGTCAGGCCAAAACAGACCCTGAGAGGGCGAGGAGGGATTCAGAAGCAGGTGATGAGAAGGTGAGCTCGGCAGAAGGGCTGTTCTTGTGGCACACACTCCTGGCTGTGGGGCCAGCTGAAGGCAGGGAGTGGCGGTGTAGGAGAGGGAGGAGGAGATTTCCTGGTCTGGTCTGGTGGAGGCCTCAGAAGAAGCCAGACTTCACAGCCTGCAGTCCCCAGAAGTGGCTGCAGAGGAGCGAGGAAGCAGAGGCAGGTAGGAGTGTGCACGCTGGGCTCCAGCTGTTTGCACTAAGGAGTTTATCACCTCAGTAGTCTGGGTGTTGTGCCTTGCCACTGTACGATAAGCTCAAGTCTCTGAGGGTTTAAGAGCGTGTGTGTAGGTGTCGGGCTTCAGTTCTGTGTAAGGAGCTGGGCAGAGGTGCTGGGAGGCTGCTGGATAGCAGGGGTGGGGAAATGGGAACTGCGTGTCAGGCCCATGCACCTCTGGGGCTGCTCTGCCTGCAGGGAGGTGGCAGAAGCATCCAGGTGAGGCTCGCTGGCTGGGACGGTCTCTTAAAGGTGTTTGGTTTGTTTGCACAGGTGAGTGGTTTGTTCTCTGACTGCACAGAACTGGAGAGGGAAGGGTGTGTGCTACAGTTACCTGGTTTAAAGTTGCACAGAACAGTGCCTTCTGTGTGGCATTTAGAAGAGAGAGAGGCTGTTTTCTGGTCCAAATTTTGTGTCCTGGGTTGAGGAGTGCTTGTGGGACTGGAGGCAGAGTTACAGGGAGCACGTCTCTGCCCTGTGGAGCCAGTAATCCCTGCTGGCTGGAGGCTGCCGAAGAAGGAGGCTGCCAGGGGTGGCTGAGGCTCGGGGCATGGATCTGCATGTGAGGGAAAGGGCCTGGAATTTGTGTTCCTAACGAGAAGTACAAATAAAGCACTCACAACGTACAGACTTCCTGCTCTCCATTACGTCTGGGCTGTGAGTAATCTCTCACTTCAAACTGAGGCTCAAGCTGAAAATACCAGGGGATGCTAAATTGTCAACAACTATTAAACAGCCTTAAAGAGCTGTATGGGAAGCTGGGTCTGCGCTCTCTCAATTTCTGAGCGTTCCTCAACCAACCTGAGTCTGAGCTATTTATCAGGAGGTCTTTAGTGCTGGAAGGGGAAGGGAGCATTTAAACTCTAGCACAAAATAAGGAGGCACTTTAAGAGGCCATTTGCTTTTCAGGGTGTCCAACTGAGAATAAATCTTCCTTTAAACAGCCTTGAAAAGAAAACAAAGGGAAAAGATCTTGCCCTTGCTGCAAATAATGAGAACCTTGCTGCTAGCTTTGATGGTCAGGGTTTCCTCCCGCATCTTTCTGAGCATCTGGTACTTGACCTGGGTGAGCCCCCCCTGGAATTGGCAGGGAGCTGAGGGCTGTGTTAGGTTTGGTGGTGAAGCTGGTGGGGGAGAGACTGCGTTAGGAACTTCTGCAGGTCTCTATATTAAATATATATATATGTATGTGTTTTTTTTTTTCTTTTTTTTTTTTTTTTTCTCTCTAATCTTTTCTCTTTCTATCTCCTACCCCAAAAGCACCACAGGGAGGGGAATTCCCTCCACCCCCCTTCCCACTGCTACTTATAACAGTTAAATTCTCAAGGTTATCTATTTGGCAGAGCAATTCCAGGGTATATAAAACACAAATTTGGATTTGATTTTGGCCTGT